CTGGGCACTCAAGGGACCCAGATTCGATTCCAGTCAAGGGCACATCCTTGGTTGCAGGCACATCCCCAGTGGGAAGTGTTTAGGAAGCAGCTAATCAATATTTCTCTCTCATTGATGTTTCTAGCTCTCTATCCCTCTCCCTTCCGCTCTATAAAAAATCAATAAAATATATTTCAAAACAACAAAAAAACAACAACTTTGTCCTCAAGGAGTGTGGATGCTGGTGGAGGAGAAGGATAACCCACAAATAAAAGAGTGAGCTGTAGAATACACTGGCTGATCCCGAGACCATGGGGAGGAGTAGAATGGAGAGAGGAGTGAGGAGCACTGGGGTGGGCTGGGTTATAAGTAGGGTGGCCTTGGAGGGCCTTATTGGAGAGAGACCTGCAGGCGTGAGAGAGTGAGGGGGGAGGAAAGTTCCAGACTCAAGACAAGAGTGAACTTGCTCTGTTTAAGGAACAACATGCAGGTCAGATGAGCTGGAGCAGGGTGAGCACCGGGGAGAGAGAAATGCTGGCTGGTTTCCCCTGGCCAGGCCACTGGTGTCCATTTAGCCCATAACACATCTGAGCTGTAATTCTAATTCAAAGCCATGCACATTTCCTGCTGCCCACTGTTTGCCAGGGAGCAGGGCTGAGTGCTGGCATTAATATCGCAGCTACCATAACCACAGTTCTCTGGGAATATCCCCTGTGTCAGCTGGAGAGTGCTAGGGACCCACAGAGCCCACTCCAGGTAGTGTGAGGGCAGGCAGGTACAATGCCCAGGATGGGCCACCAGAGCCAACTCTATTATTATTATTATTATTATTATTATTATTATTATTATTATTTACAGAGAGGAAGGGAGAGGGATAGAGAGCCAGAAACATCAACCAGCTGCCTCCTGCACACCCCCTATTGGGGATATGCCTGCAACCAAGGTACATGCCCTTGACTGGAATCGAACCTGGGACCTCTCAGTCCGCAGGCCAACGCTCTATCCACTGAGCCAAACCGGTTAGGGCCAGAGCCATCTCTTGATTTCTCTTGTGCCAGATGGCTTCTACCATCTGGGGCATACAAGGGTCTCTTGGTTTGGAGACTCAGCACTTGCTTTGTGACTGAGCATTGGTTTATGTGCCATGTGACCTTTCTGGTCCTTGATTTTCTGGTAGTGGTAATGACTGTTTTATCTTTTGTGTGTGTGTAAAAATTAAATGAGGTTAATGTATATAACAGAGCCTTATATAATCGCCTTTTGGTCTGAGTTGTCATGATTTCAGAGCAGTCACCCTGGGTTCTGAGTCAGGAATGAAGTGAAGGAGAAGAGCTCAGATGTGGACACCTCCCACTGACACCTTCCTATGTGGGCGTCGCTGGCTTTATATTGGCTGTCTAATTTCCTCTGCTGGCGGGCAGGCAGGCGCAAGGTGGGGAGCCGCTCTGGGAGCCAGGTGGGGAAGGCATCGCTGATGAAAGGGAATGTTGCTTGACTCCTGGGGAGGCTGTGGAGTAGGGTTTCAGGAAAAGTACATAATTCATTTCAAAAACAACAAGCAAGAGAGCAGACCCGAACAAATCGTGTCAGAGGTACAATCACGTTTCCCCTTTGTACACTGCTCCTTTCTCTCTAGTTCCCTTATCCTCGGTTGAGCAGCTTCATGGGACCCAGGTCCCATAAAGCTGCTCAATTAGCCCAGGTCTCACCCCCCCTGGCCCCAGCCATCCAGTCCCTCCCAAGCCTGCCTTCCCTCCAAAGCTGTGAGAATGGGGGACTCTACGGAGGAAGGAAACTCTAGGGAAGAAAAGCTACTTCCCCAGTACTGGGGGGCTCTGCATTCAGAGAGCCCTTGTCATGAGACCTTCTTCCTCATGTCACTTGTCTCTGCTCCCCTGTGATTTGTACCCCTACACGCTGGCTCACCCTCTGAGGGACTGAGAGGCATTTTAACTAACAGTTCTTTTAAGACACAGCTTTTCAGATATCTGAAGACAGGTCCCTAACCCCAACACACTCAGCTCAAGATCTTCTCCTTATCTTTGCTATTCACGTCATGAAGTATCTGCTGCTGTTGTGTAAATGCTGCCCTGTATGTGCTGTCTGAAGATTCATAACCTTTGCCACTTTGTGGAAGTTCTTAGCCATGGATTCTTCGAGTCTGCTTTTGCCCCAGCCACTCTTTCTCTTTTGTTGAAATGATTAGATGCATGTTGGAACTTCTCAGTCGACCTTCCCTGTTTCTGACAGTCTTCTCATTTGTTTCTTTACCTCTCTGAACTGTGTTCTGGTGAATTCTTCGGAAGTCTTCCAATTCACAGATCCTCTCTTTAACTATGACCAGTGTAGTGTTTGCCCAACATTGTTTTATTTGATTTTATTATTTCTATGTTTTAAATCTCTATGACTTAACCTTTATATTAAATGTCTGTTGCACATAAATATGTGTCTTCACTTGAAGTAGAGCATTTCCTTTTAATGCTTTCCTTTTGCATCCTGGTTGTCATGGCTGTGTTTGCAGAACAACGGGAATTTAACTCTCTGTCTTGACTGTCCCTTCATAGTCCCCAAACTGACCTCATATGCCTGGTCTCCTGAGCTTTTCTGATCAGGATACTGTCATCTGACCCCAACCTGTGCCTGGATTCAGGCTCCGTTACCTGCAGCTTGGTGTGTTTTTGTAAGTCATGGGGTGCAGGCTCAGAAAGTCAGCCATAGAGACGGGGCATGAGCAAACAGGATTCTACCAAACATACGTGCTTTTACAAAAGCATCCATAGGGGGATTAAAGGAAGACACCAAAGGAATTTCTTTGAAGCAATCAATGGGCAGGCTCAGTTGCAGGCCTATGATAAACAATGCCTCTCAATGCAGGGGAAATCAGGCCAAGTTCATTTTGCATGGTTTTTGGGGACCTAACAGATAGTCAATGTCAGAATGTGGTAGTATGGGGTCTGGGACCTGGGTTTATTGTTGCCTAACACTAGGTAGACAGTTGTGGAGGAAGAAGACACAGAACCACATAATACCTAAGTTATAGTAGCTGAGATATTAGTACCAGCACTTAGCCCTAGCAGTCAATGGGCATCAGGTCATCCATCTAGAGGTGACCAATATTTACCACTACATCTGTCAACTACTAGTGGCAAAATGGCTTTAGGTTCTTTGGCAATCCCCTCTGTTCTTAACAGACCTCTTCATTTTCTCATCCCCAGTATCATTTAGTGACACCTAATCAAAGAAAGTACCACAGTTGAAACCGGTTTGGATCAGTGGATAGAGTGTCAGTCTGCGGACTGAAAGGTCCCAGGTTCGATTCCAGTCAAGGGCATATACCTTGGTTTCGGGCACATCCCCAGTAGGGGGTGTGCAAGAGGCAGCTGGTCGATGTTTCTCTCTCATTGATGTTCCTAGCTCTCTATCCTTCTTTCTTCCTCTCTGTAAAAAATCAATAAAATATATTTTTTTTAAAAAAGAAATGAATGAAAGAAAGAAAGAAAGAAAGAAAGAAAGAAAGAAAGAAAGAAAGAAAGAAAAGAAGGAAGGAAGGAAGGAAGGAAGGAAGGAAGGAAGGAAGGAAGGAAGGAAGGAAGGAAGGAAGAAAGGAAGAAAGAAAGAAAGAAAGAAAGAAAGAAAGAAAGAAAGAAAGTATCACAGTCTGACATTGGCCAGCAGTTAGGCCGCCAAACAACCAGGCAAGATGATCCCACACAGAATGTCCCCATGTGGTCCTTTCAGACAATTTGATCAGCAAGTTCATGAAAGATTGACTCCAAAGAAGCCAAGCCAAACCTACCGAACATTCTGACAGCAGAACCAGCAAACACATTTCCTTCAAGTGTGGAATCCAGAAGATAAATGAAATTCCAGGTAGGTTGCTGGACACCCCGGATTCATGCAAGGGCAGACAAGGACAGTTAGGCAGGAGAATTGGAAAGGCCTGCATCCTTCAAGTGAAATCTAAAGATAGAAGTGAAACTGTAGTCACTTGTTCAGACAGAGGAACAAAGCGCGCTCTCTCTCAGATCTGAATGACTTCTATCTCACGGCTTATTTATTCTAATCCCTCCTTCGGTCAGAAAATAACTCAGTTCCCATTCAAGTTTGCTCATTCAAGCACCACCCCTCACAGTCTTCAAGAGACATTTTCAATATAAAGATTTTCATATGGACTTGAGGCTTCAGAGCTAGGACAGCAGGAATCAGCGCAGACATTGGTATCACATGCCTGTATCTGCATTTCTTTAACATTCTGGTCTGTTCAGTGCACCTGGATAGCTAACGTTGCACCTTAGGTAATACTTTTCTCAGACACTAACCCCCCTCTAATTTTTCCCCATTGGTTGGACAGAAAGACCCTGGGCTTCATCTACTGGCAAAATTTGATCAAAGCATAAAGGTCTGGCTTTTAGCCTAACCAAAGGTGCTAGGGACACTAGCAGGCAAACACACCACCTCCTCCAAGGTGGAGCCAAACACCCTCCATTTTATCACGTCTGTTGGGCTGCTTAATATGAAGATCACATTAAGTCAGGAGCCAAATGCCTGGATTCAAGCTCCGTTATCTGACAGCTTGATGCCTTTTTGTAAGTCACCTGTTCAGTGTCCTAGTCAGGGAAGCAGGGCTAGTGAGAGCACTCAGACTCACAGGGTGGTCATGAGACCAAAGGGCAGACTGTGCAGATTTAGCTTTGTAAATCGTGTGCAAGGACATATTTGTATCAGTCATGTACATGTACTCAATTGCTTTTTGTGAACATACCTTCTATTTCTAAGAAGACCTTAGGATTCTAGGATGGGGAGAACAGGCCTTATTTTTCTAAGTAGACCTCCGGATTCTAGAATGGGGAAGCTACAAACTATGAGTGTTTGTGGTACCTAAAAGTGCCTCACACCTACTGGTGTTTAATGGGTAAATGAACAGGTAAGGTTTTTTTTTTTTTTTTTTTTTTTTTTTTTAATAGAGAAGAAGGCAAGGACTTGTATTAATATTATATAGTATATCTAGAGAATTGCTTCAACACCATTTATTCAACCAAAAGTTATCGAAAAGACCTACCATGTTCAAAGCTTGGAACATAAGATGAGTATGATGTAGCCTTTGCCTGTAGGGCAGTAAGTGGAATTAAATGCTGAAAGGGCTGAACGTCTGTACTGAACACAATGGGGACACAACGAACCACGGGGAGTTGAGGGTGGACCTGAGAACAGGAAGGAAGGCCATCTTTAGAGAGGGAAGCATGGACAGGGTCTTGAAAGATGAGTGGGTACTTGACCCAAAGGGATCCAGAGGGCACAGGCCCTCTGTTGAACAGGAAGAGCGTGGGCAGAACCTGGAACAGAGTGCGGCTAACGGCTACGTTGGTTTGTAGGGCCAGAGAGTAGGGAGCAAGAGGGAGGTGGTTGGAAAGAGGTGAGGCTAGAAAGGAAGACTTTTCCACCCTTGGTTTCTAAGAAAGGGAGTTTGCCTATGTACACTCCTGACTCCTCTCCTGCTTGTGACTTCTCTGGTTGATAAGTTAGGGAAGAAGACTTAGGCATATGTTGCTTAGACTTGTCCTCTTTCCTCATGAGACCATGATTGTCTGCCACATGGAAATCTGATCCTCCCTGTCGCAGTCCACATGCCTGGGGCTCTGTGGGGGAGTTTGCCCAATCTGGGGATCAGCTGGTAGGCCCACCAGCTCTCATACTAAGCTGGGTTCTCCAGCTTCACCTTTATCAGCAATAAAGGTGATTCTCAGGCCATGTTTGCACTATTTGTTTTATTTTGCAATTTGTCCAGAGCCCAAATGGGGAAGAAGATACTGTGTGTTGGGAACCCAGTGAGGGGCAGACCATAGAGAGCCTGGACTGCCCTGCCTAAGAGTTTGGAATTACGTGAACCAAAGGGCCCCCATGCCAATGAGCACAGAATGAGAGTGCCCACAGAAGGCAGCAGTGGATGGATCTGGGTATCAGGACCACTGGGAGCCAGCCCCAGCTCTGCCACTAACTACCACTTGACTTTGGTCAAATCGCTTACACTTTCCTGGTTTTAGTTTCCTCATGTGGAGAATGAGTTGGTTTATTAAAATCTTTAATGGCCCTCTCCAATTATTAGAAAAGGAGGATTTCCTAACAGGAGGAATGAAGACTAGAGCAGGTTGTGGAATTGCTTTGCTTGGAGGTCTTGAAGAAGCAGCTGGTTTAGCCTCCAAGGTAGAGGCACACTCTAACTCGTGTATGCTGGGTACTCTTTCTATAGGAACTCTCTCACTTAATCCTCATGCCAAATAGGTACTATTATTATTCTTCATTTACATAGGAGGAAACTGAGACTACTTTCCCGGGAGCCTACAAGTAGTGAGTGTCCATGCTGAGCTTTGAACTTGGGCAGTCCGGGCACCATGGCTGCAGGATCCAGCACCTCACTGCACCGCCTCCATGCTAAGGGTCAGCTCTAAGTCCTTTCCAAAAAGCCCATCACGATCCATGGTATCTCTGGAGGGACCCAGTTTGCAGCTTCTCAGACACGTGCAAAAGGCAGGTGCTTGGCTAGTGAGAGAAACCAAACTCTTTTGGCTCTCTCTTTGCTCTGTGCCCTCAGTTTTGACATTCAGGGGCGAGAAACACTTGTTTGGCAATTAATAATGCACTCCATTTTGACATCTCTTCTATTGATGTCTTTATTGTTCGGTTTCTATGCACTTATGATTTGTCTCCTTCCTTAATGTTGATTTCCTGGTTACCCCACCAGATGCTCTTCTGCATGCTTGGACTGTTATTTTTCATTTGACATTCACAATAAACTTCAAGGGAGGTACAACTATTATCCCCAATTTCCAGCTGAGAAATCTGAAGCCCAGAGTTTGGAAAGATACTATTCAACTGCTTATAGGCCATACCATTGACAGCATCTACTAGGACCTTGATAGAAATTTGCAAGGGACTGATTAGTCAAGGTTCATGTATTTCAAAGATTCTCTTCATCCGGGTCCTTTTATTTAATCTTCTATTTATTCTCTACTTAGTTCTCTCTTTCCTGTATTTCTTTTATTGGCTGTGTCTAAGATGCTATGGAAAGCCAACACAGCACAACTGTGGAATATTCCTAAATGCCTGTTTGAGGAGCCCAGGGGAAGCCCTAATACAGAGTGCACACAGCACTTAATAGTTATGCATTAATTAACTAACATATTGATGGTCTGTTGGTTTGCTTCATGATCTGTTAAACATGTTTGTTCATTCCTTTGTGAATTTCAGAGCTGATAGTTACATTTTTTCTTGCTTTTTTGTTGTTGTTGTTGTTGTGGTTTCCTTCATTCTCCTGACTTTTGGCTTTTCTTGCTTCCTGGAAGAGACATGGGAGAAACTAAAATCAGTAGAATGAGAGATTATGGGGAAGAGATATGCTTTTCTGAACTGGGTTTTGTGTGTGTGTGTGTGTGTGTACACATTTTTGAGGAGGCTGGAGCTGGGAAAAATAAAACTCTCTCCTCTCTGCCTCTTTAATGTCTCATGAATTGTGTGTCAATGCCAAATCCACAATAGCAACTTTTCCCCTTCGTCCCTGACAGGGAGAGTGTAGTCTTTTTTGGGAGGGGACAGGGCATATCCACTGTGGATCGGCCGACCACATTAGCGCTGTCCTTTGTGAGCCAGTCCAACCAACAACAGTGCAGTGACCGCAGCTGGAACGCACACGATCAGGCCCAGACAGACTCGCAGGCCGGGGTTGATTAATCCTGTGCCCACGGCCTCTGGTATCCTGACTCGTTTAAACCTCTTGCTACCATCCTTCTTGTTGTAAACAAAGTCAGTTCGCCATGAGAAGGGTTACGCAAGAACCGACACAATAGGCTCTTGGCCTCTTCCTGGCTGACCCCTCTCGGGGGCACACTCTGCTTGGAGTTGCAGGTAGAGAAATCTCAAATTCAACCTTGGGCCTGTTTCCTTTGGCTTCGCTTGTGACACGTCTCCAAATAAATGTTAGCGTTTTGCAACTTTGGAAAATACCAGGAATACATGTTTCCCCATCAAGCCCAGAAAATTCTCAGTATTGGAGTGTGAGCTGTCCTTCCACGACTCTGCACGCGGAGAGCCAGTGTGCATGGCCTCCTCTGGGGCGTGCTCAGGCCTCCCTGGTTCATCTGCAGAGGCTCAGCCTCAGCTCAGCAGCACGTGCTGGAGGAGCCTGGCTCAGCCTTCGGACGGGAGACTCACGCTCAGCCCCTGCGCAGAGGAAGTATGGCTACATTGAATGAACCTGAGGAGAGGGGATGCTCGCCCACAAATTCTCGTGGTCCGGGTGGGCGCTGCATTATGAATCCCTCAGCAGTTCGCAGTGGTGAGATCTGGCCATGCAATCTGTGCCTTTCCTGGGTTAGGGAGTAGCTACAGTCCACCCTTGTTAAAAATCAAAGGTAGGAAAAAAACAACGAAGAAGCAAACTCAGGGAGAAAATGGGTGTGGCTGCCTAACATGACACCCGTCATTGTTAGGAGGAAGATGCAAGTGAAAACTACAAAAGGTCACCGTTGTGTGCCCATCGGATGGGGTAAAAATGTCTGACACTACCAAGTGAGGGTACGGACGTTGGAAGCTGAGAAATCGTATGCCCTGCTGGTGGGAGTGTACACTGGTTCAAGTTCTTTAGAGAAAAATGTAGCATTCTAATGTATATATATTTTTGATTTCAGGGAGGAAGGGAGAAGAAGAGAGATAGAAAACTTAATAATAAAAGAAAATCATTGATCGGTTGCCTCCTGCATGTCCCCTGCTGGGGATCAAGCCCGAAATCCAGGCATGTGCCCGACAGAGAATCCAATCTTGACCTTGTTCATAGGTTGATGCTCAACCACTAAGCCACAGAAAGGTCAGAGGGGTTATCTGCCTTCTCAGTGCCATCCCTGAATTGCCTAGACCCATGGCTCTTCCACAAAACACCACGGCCTGTGGATTCATGAGTTTGCCGACCACTGGCGTAGACCTTCTCCAGCTCTAGAAGTGGAAAGTGATTCAAAGACAGAAATAGAGCCATTTCGTGCCAGCAGGTTCACCTTTGCCCTTGGAAATGACTCCTACCCACGACCCTCCGTGACACTCAGATCTGACGAGTTCCATGCGAAAGGCAGAGGCATGTTCCTGCCTCTAGGACACCTTTCTGGAGATTTTCACAATGTGGGGCTGACGGAGACTTTGCCATGAGAGGGGGCGTGGGAAACGCACCCAGAGGGGGAACCGGGCATGTGGGAAGTCACAGGGTCCCGCTCCTAACCCAGCCCTCTCGTGGCAGCCCACCCCAGGCGTCCTGGGCCCTCCAGGGGTCCCTGAGGGCCTTGGGGCCGCCTTCGCAGGGCCCACCTGCCCGGACAGATGTGTGGGGTCAGTCATTCGAGGACAGCCCCGTGCAGAGCTGGGCAGGCGGCCCCTCTGGGGGTGGGGCCGGCACTGGTCAGCAGCCTCTGGTTCAGCTCAGGTTCTCAGCTCGGAGAGTGGAGGCTGCCAGCTGTTTACACCAGCTCCCTGATGACTTGCTTCCCTTTGCTGAACCGGCCCCGCTGGGCTCCAAGCAAAACGCCACCCTGCAGAACGCAGGCCGGTGCTCAGGCTCCACTGCCCCTCTGCGGGGCCTGCCGTGGCCTGTGAGCGCAGGGGTGGGGTGCGGGTCTTCTGGTGTCCTCGGGCCCCTGTGACCTGGGTGCTTGTGGTGAAGGGATCCCGATGGCCAGGGGATTCCTCGCCTCTGAGCCCTGGCCTGACCTCTGGGCCTGGGTGTTGGCACGGATTTATGACCCTGAGCTGCTCTTTATCTCTTCGGGAAGTCGGAGTTTTGGTTGGGAAGTTTTTCAATTTCCTCCTGGCCTGGACCAAACCGCTCAGATTTCCAAGGGCAAGATGAGATCCCCACTCCTCTCAGCCCTCTGTGCTCGGGGTGTGTTACAGCCTCGCTCTAGGCTCCTGCCTGGCCCAGCGGGGACCTGACTGGCCCGAGGGAGGGACAGCCACTCCCTGCACCCTGCTCCTCTCACACCCGGGAGCCAGTGGCTTTCCCCAGCTGTCTCCGTGGTTCCCAGGCTCCACGCAGAGCAGAAGCCCTCTGAGAGCCCAGGTCCGAGGTCCAGGCTGCAGGACCTGGGCCGTGGATGGAAAGGGGAGAGCGGATCTAGTCCTCCCACTTGTAATCCTCCTGCAACCCTATAGCATCATCCCCAAGAGGAGAAAGGAAGCTGGGCTGTCCAGGGCCGCACCCCGGGCTTCTCCCCAAGACCAGGCTCCTTTGGGGGCACTTGGGGGAAGCAAGAAGTTTGCATCCAGTGACACACTTTTTTCTCTCCATGAGATCTCCTCCTCCCAGCCTGGCCTCGCCCCCACCCAACACTCCCTCCCCCCAACACACACACACACACACACACACACACACACACACACGTAGGGTCCCTCTGAGCCTGCGGCCCACACCGTGTCATCTGAAAGTCGGGACGCAGTGGAGTGGGGCTCCCCTTTTATAAGTCTGAGAGGATCTTCCCTTGGGGATGGGCCCTTTGATCCTGCGGCTTCGCCCACCCCATGAGGGATCACCTCACCCCCCACTGAAGTCCCGCCAGCCGGAGCGAGTGGCAGCTGTCGCCGTGTTCAGGGCAGGAAGTGAGGAAGAACATGATCTTCAATTAGAACGGCAGCAGGAGCGGCGGGCGGCGGGGTCTGATGGAGACGGATGACCCGGGAGAGGAGCGGCCGCGTCCTGTCCCCAGCTCCGCCACCAGCTCCCGGGGTGACCTTGGGCCCATCCCTGAGACCTGCAGGGCCTTCTCTTCACCTGAAGCGCGGTGGTGATGAGACCTGTGTCCTGGCCTGGACGGGGTGAGGATTAGGGAGATTAGGGATGCAGACGGGCTCCTTTGATCCCTTCCGAGCCAGCAGCAAAGGGTAGGGGTGCAGACTCAGGCAGAGGGGCACTGGCCGCCAATAACAGGATGTGATTGGAGGCGCAATGAAATGTCCGGGTGCAGGGTGCCTCCCTGGCCAGCCTGCCGAGCTGCTCTGGGATGCTGGGCGGGCCGGGAGAGCAGGTGAAACATCACTGGGACCCCTGTGCCATGTGGGGCAGCAGCCGGCCACAGCCTCGTGCCTGGTAGCAATAACTTAGTAATAACAATAGCTTACCACATGCAAGGCTCTGTTCTAACAAATAGCAACTCATTAAATGCTCCCAACGTCATATTAGGAGATATGGATTATTGTCATATCCTCATTACAGAGACGAGGTGGAGCCAGTTTCCCAGGAAAAGGGGGCCCTGGGGACAGAGGTGCGAGGACAGTCCCCCGAGGACAGCTCCATGCACAGAGCAAGAAATGGTGACTAGGGACGTGGCGGGGAGGGGAAGTGGGTTCCAGGAGCCGGTGGGAAGTTCACGCCAATCGATGTCAGGTCATCAGTGACAGCAAGCTGGCCTTCCCGGGCTGCTGCTGCCTGCTGTCTGTCCTCACAGGGCCACATCCACCTGTCTCTCATCGCACCAGCTCTGTGGGGCCTGGTCATGCAGTTCGCCAGGAGGGAGCCGTCAGAGGAAGCATGATGGCAGTGACGACGGCGCCGCCAGTGCCTCCTCTCACACTGGCACCAGCACACACTTGCTGGGGCGCAGGCGTCAGGCTCGGGAGGGTGATGGGGTCCTGCCAATCTGCTCTGGAGCCCTGAACCTTGAGCTTTCTGCCCCCCACCCCTTCTCATTGCCTGGGACAGGCCTGCACTGGAGTGCTTCCCCAGGAGAAGGGGTGCGTGGGAAACCATCCATGCACAGGGCAGAGGGCTGTACAAAGCATAGACGTGGGCTCAGGCAGCGCAGGCTGGGTTTTGCTTCAGTAACAAGTAAGATAATGGTAATGCCCCTTCTTCTAATGCCACTTCTTCAAAATAGACTCGCCCAGGCCGTGGTGTTTTGTGGAAGAGCCACACTCAAGGGTCCAAAGAGCCGCATGTGGCTCATGAGCTGCAGTTTGCCTATTAGGGCCCTAGCATATTCATGCCTTTGCTGTAGGCTGGTTGTAAAATAACCCAAGGCCTCTCTCTCCCAGGGCTGTCCTTTGTCCTTGCTGCCAGGTGGCAGGCACCTCGGGGCGACCCCCCAGGTGGCAGCTAATTGCACCAGCTTCCATGCTGCTGAAAGGGCAGCTCCCCTTGCCTCCAGCCCTTCCTTCCATACCAGGTGCCTGCTGGCCATCCCGTGGCCCACGCATGGGTCTGTCCCTCTTCCATCTCACTGTCTCTGAGGACGCATCCCTGCAGGGTGCAGGCATCTCTGACCTCCTCTCCTGCCCACCCACAGATCCTGGCATGGCCGACACTCT